CAAGATTACAACTGCGTTAATATTCATTAAGTTCAAACTAATTTCATAAGCTCAGTCTCGGTGATTTTACAGTTTTCCAGAATGATCGCATGCATGGCATTGGATGTAAGACCAGCTTAAATAGTCCAATTAAAAATGCAATGGCATCTAGATTCTGGAAAAGGTTTTGAGTCATTGGTAGCCTAAATTACTATGTAGATGTCATAACCATGAAATCCCTGAACAACAACCCCCTTCCTATATAGCGATTTGAAAATTACATATAAAAGTGCAGAGCTATCGAGAACTTAAGTGCTGAAGCGTTTTCCTGAGGCCGGAACGACCATGCAATATGTGTGTGTGTGTGTGGGGGGGGGGGGGGGGGGAAGGTATCATATTATGGAAATTATTAATCTGTCCTTGAATGCTGAAAATAAATCAGTATGTCCTCCACTGGGATGTCTTTGGCGTGGTGGTAGCCCCACCCCTCTCCCCAAAGAAATAGAATTTTCGAGTTTGGATCTTTAGACTTTTTTGTTCAGTGTATATTGTATGTGAAAATAAATAATCTGTACCTGGTCGATCTAGAAAATGAATAATCTCTCATTTACGTAGTGACATGAAAATAAATAATCCGACTCGAAAAAAAATTGCACTCCCAAACGAATCAGCTTTGTCCCCTAAATTGTATTATTCAATTTTGATGTCCTGTACCATCCTTGATTTAAAAAAAAAAGTTTTATTATCATGAAGAGTTCCTGAACTTCTAAATATCTTAAAATTTTCGCGCAGTACACGCGCTTTTTGCAAAGCTATCTTTGTTTAGTTCACTCTTAATATGATACATTTACTCTATCCCTTTCCAAATACACCAGTATATTCAAAACTGCTCACACGTGCCCCTTCCCCCTTTCGTCCCATCAATTTGCCAATACATGTACATATATATACACCAATACATGTGTACATGTATATACACTAAAACTATGCAACTGAAAACAATTTTGTGGATTTTTTCTCTTGTTAAAGAATTTTAGTATGACAATCCCGATGTTTAACCTATTTTTTAAAGCACCATATTGTGAAGTATCAGAATATAATGTTAAAGTATCAGCATATAATGACAAAGTATCAGCATATAATGTTATAGTATCAGCATATAATGACAAAGTATCAGCATATAATGACAAAGTATCAGCATATAATGACAAAGTATCAGCATATAATGTTGAAGTATCAGCATATAATGTTGAAGTATCAGCATATAATGACAAAGTATCAGCATATAATGTTGAAGTATCAGCATATATAATGTTAAAGTATCAGCATATAATGAATGTTCTACACGTAAGGCAGCTGCTGCGTTCCATAAATTTTATTTCGCCAGTGATGCTTCTCGCGAAATTACGCCATAATTAATTTCTCGCCTATATTTCGGAATCTACAATAATCAAAACGAAACTGCTCGTGCAATGCCATCGTCGGATACCCACGGTTGATCTCTTACGCATCACCCGTGGGCAATTGCAAATCGCTGATATGCCGTCGTAAAATATGCTAATTTGTTGAGTATAGACAACCAATCAGAAAGTTGGAACTATTCAATTTTGGAAATACATTTATTATAGTTTGCTAATTATGCTAAACATACTGACGCCCGTTAAAATGTGCGAATTTTGTCTTAAAACGATTAAAAACAAGTCGTACAGGTCACTGGTATTAAATACCAGTCAGAAATTATATGGAAATACCTTTCCCAAACTACGAAATGCATCGCTGAGTGGATTGATTTGCAATCGGTGTGTTAACTACGGAAAAGTTTTTTCCCACTGCCGAACATACACACACAACGTAAACTTTGATTCGTTGATTTATTATCGCGACTCTGTAGCGCAGCCAATCAAATGACCCCCGCATATGAATTACATAAGACGATTTATAGAGAGTTTCCCACTGGTGATGAGTAAAAGACGAAATCACCCGTGGGAATCCGACCATGATATATAATGCGTTATAACGACATAGAGTACTCAGACGTATGCCGTAACTAGTACTCACAACTTTATTCATTTTAATGTTTGTTTGTTTGTATGTTGTTTAACGTCCCTCTCGAGAATTTTTCACTCATATGGAGACGCCACCACTTGCCGGTGGAGAGCTGCAATTGTGTCCTATACTCATCACTTACGGCCATTGAACAGTGAGGGATCTTTTTCGTGCCAGCACCCACTGCGACACGGGACCTCGGTTTATACGGTCTCCATGTCCCACAGTGGGATTCGAACCCGCGACATAAGGATCAACTCCTTACTTCGCGACTCTAGAGTAGACGCTCTAACTACTGCGCCACGCGGGCGACTTATTTATTTTAATGTAATAATGCTTTAAGCCTGGAATACATGTAAATTTGACCTCTTACATTGTATCAATAGAAAACTAAAATTAGAAAATCTTGCGAGTACATGTAATACTTAGAAATTTCTGAAATTTTATTTCTCCCCACCACCCTTCCCAAAAATAAAAATATAAAAATTTAGCTTATACTGTGCAGTAATTAAATTGCTAACGGTATATAAATTTATGAGAATTTTGGAGAGTTGTAAATAGAATTTTTACTGAATAATAAATCACGAGATTTCGTTGTGGTATCGAGTTACGTAAGTTTATCAAAATACGATCGTACATTATTTTAAAAGGTTTTTTTTTCTTTTCATAAGACAATTTATTATGATACATAATTCAAGAAAATATATTTCTATTAAAGCACTAAGAAATACGTAACTGGCGTTAGTTATAAATGCCGATCACGTCTTTTCAAGATATATAACTTAGAGTTTATAGAGAAAGTATTGATAATCCTGAATATGGCTTGTGTTTACGTTGAATGTTTGCAATACGTACACTGATTACAGTATTTAGTTACTTACTTCCCTATGTAGTGAATATACGCGGTTAGTCATTTGAACATTCTCAATGGTGATAATGAACAGTTCTACTTAATATGAGCTTGAATAAATATAAAAAAAAAAGGTGCCGAAATGAAACAGTAGCAGATCAAAATTTGGTCAGCCCATGTACATGTAACTACACGTCAAATAGAAGGCAAGTAAAGTTTCCTGTGTTAGAAAAGGAAGTCTCAACATAAAACTGCCTATCCATTTTTCATCGTGTAAATTACATTTTAATTTTTTTCTTTTTTAAATATTTATTATTTTTTTTTTAAACTATAAAAATAAAATCAATAAGTCAAGGTAAAATAAAAGTGTTTTCTTTGCCTTCACATTTGATACCACTATGTTCATATGTATATGCTTTAAGAGGGTACGTCTTTTAAGAAGTGATTCACTTATCCGGACGATTCATTTATCCGGACGATTTCGTTGGGGACGGAGGCGTCCGGATTAACGAGGCGCCACTGTAATACTTAAAAATTTCTGAAATTTTATTTCTCCCCACCACCCCTCCCAAAAATAAAAATATAAAAATAAAAATCAAGTGTTTTCATCTGAGAACTTAACCTTTAATGTCAGTGAGCATTCTGCAAAAGTACACGTAAGATTTGAAGAATATCTATAAAGTAGAAAAATTAAGTCTAAAACCTCATTTTTTTTAAAGGCAGGGATAGAAGGGAAGAAAGATGAAAACGAAACTCAGTTGGAAACCGAGCCACTTGTACATATATCTATGTTTCTTTGAAATCATTATTTTAGGAAATAAGTATAGCATTTGTATTTAAACATATTTTATTGAAACAAAGTCATTGGGATTGGACACAAGTTATACGAACTTAGATTGTCCTCTCCAACAGAAAAAAATGACATATACAAATACACGTACAACCAACAAATGTACAATACCAAACAAGAGGCTCATGGGTCACAACGCTCACCTGAGTAACTGTGGCCCTGCTGTACGTCACCAGATTTCCACCTCAAAATACTCATTATGATCCCACACTACCCCAGGGGGCCATGATTTGAACCTGCAATTAATACCCCAGGAAGCTTACTCATAAGATAGGTTTTTCTGGCCCAGGGGTTTTTGAGAAGAAGATTTTTAAATATTTTTCCTGTATGTTTCAATATAAAAGTTTGATTTCCTATGTGGCCACACCCTACCCCTGGGACCATGATTTGAACAGCTGAAAATCTACACTACCCTAAGATGCTTCCCCGGGGTTCATGATTTGAACAATTTAGAATCTACACTACCCCAGGATGCTTTCACTTAAGTTTCAGCTTTTTTGGCCCAGTGGTTCTTGAGAAGAAAATTTTTATAGATTTTTCCTATATATTTCAATGTATAACTTGGATTCCCTATTGTGGCCCCCCCTCCCCCCCCCCCGGGGGGGGGGCATGATTTGAACTTTATACTAACTTTGGTTAAATTGGCCCAGTGGTTTTTGAGAAGAAGATGAAAATGTCAAAAGTTCACAGACGGGACGGACGGACAGACAGACGGACGACGGACAACAGGTAATCAGAAAAGCTCACGTTTATAATTTCAAAGCTTTCAGCTAAGGTGGGCCAAAAAAAGAGAAAAAAGTGCAAAGAAATAAGAAAGGAAGGGAATGGGAGTGCAAGGAGAGAAGAAAGGTTGTAAAAGATACAGAATGGTTACGCTGGTTATTCATAAAAATCTTTTCGATTTTTTAATATACTTAATTTATGTACGGCTTTAACAATGTTGATATTATTTTGTTGACCCAAGTATGGATCTCCAAAAAGAAGTATGTCAAGGTCTATTGCTCCTTTGTTATTTATTATGATGTGAAATAATTCTGTTCCTACTTCAGCATAATTCTTACAGTACAGGAAGAAGTGTTCAGTGTTTTCATTGATATATCCACAAAAAGACTGAGTGTTATCTGAAAGACTAGCCTTAAACAGATCTTACTTAAGGAGACTTACATCATGTAAAGTATAGCACAAATTTCAAATTGAGATTAATTAACTAAACAGAACACGAATAACAAAACAAACTTTTAGTCACACTAGTCTGTTTTACATATAGATAAAAAGATGGCGTCCTCAAATTTGAAGCAAGGACAACATTACCTGGAATGTGATATTTGTCACAATCCTGTCCACTTTACATGCAAAAAATGCGCCGTTAGATTATGCAGCGCATGTGTAGAACCTCACATGCTTACCCAATCGAAAAATGGCCATGATATAGTAAAGTATAACGCACAAAACAAACTCGAGGGTGGAGAATGCCTCATCCACACCCAGCAAAAGTGTAGCGCCTTCTGCAAGACATGTGACATGCCTATTTGTGTCATATGTTTATCATTCAAGCACAACACACATGAAACTTACGATTTATCTGAGAAAGCCGACACAGTATCCCAGTTTATCATGAAAGAAAATGAACGGCTTCAGTCCATGCGATCGGAATTGGAGAAAATTCTTGAACATATCGACAAACGATCGGCGGCACTTCCGTATGTCTATAAACAGACAAAAAATAATATTTCATCCCATGCTAAAGAATGGCATCAGGAGATTGATAAAACAAAGAAGGCAATGTACAAAGACCTTGACCAAATGCAAGAAAAACATGCTGAGATCTTATTGAGTCAGAAAAGAGAATTTGAGGAGATGCTGAAGAAATTGAAAAACCTAAAACAAACAGTCTTCAGCTTAGCAAAATCCAAAGATCTTTTAGGTATGATCAACCTTAAGCTTGAACTTGAAAATCAGCAGGTGCCAACCTTTATAGAAGAAATCCGACCAGCATTTTTTCAACCTTTTAAGTTCAATGAAAGATTGTACTTCGGTTTTATAGAGACGCAAGAATCGCAAAAACTACCTCTTGGCGATCTAACACAAAAACATCAAATCTCCTCACCACGACAAGCGCTGAATGTACCTATAGTCCTGTCCGTCTTCGATGCAGGGTTTCAAGCCGACCAATACACCAATAACCGGCTGTATGACATGGTTTCTGTCGATGATGACAGAGTGTGGGCAGGAGGAGAGAGAAGTGAGCTCAGGCTGTTTGATCTCTTGGGACGTCTGCGCGACACTGTTACAATCACAGATAAGAGTATGTACTTGACCCTGCATGAAGGACATGTGGTGTACACCGATAGAAATGACAATACCTTAAATAAGATTATAAATGGCAAAATTGATAAGTTGTTCTGTACCGGGGACTGGAAACCTTACGGTATCACCTGTAACAAGACAGGGGACTTTCTGGTCTGTCTCCGAACATCAGACTCCAAAGTCGTAAGGTACAACAGTTCCGGTGACGTGCTACAGGAAATCCAGTACGACTCCCATTACCAGTCTCTGTTTAAGCTTCCACTTTACGTGGTGGAGAATGGTAATGGCGACATTTGTGTAGCTGACTGGGATAAAGAAGCCGTCACAGTCGTTGATAAGTTCGGAATATTCAGGTTCTCCTTCACAGGGAACAAAATATCCAAGGAGAACTTCAAACCTAGCTCCCTTACCACAGACAGCATGCATCACATCATCATCACGGACTTTAAATACAGCAGGATTCACATGCTGGACAGGGACGGCCAATTCCTTAGGTACATCACTCCTGACCAGGGGATACAGAGACCACGCGCCGTGTGTGTCGTTAGGGAGGGAGAGTTAATGGTGGGGGAGTGTTTAACGGGAATTATCAAGAGAATAAAGTACTTACACTAGGAGGAAGTTTGAAGATACGTGTGTAAAATATTTGCACGAGTATGATATGCGAGTTCGTTATTCTGATACCTTGATTTTTGTTTCTTTCTGCTGACATGTATGAACTGGCTAAAAACCATAAAGTACATTTGTATTTTAGTTCGAACTTGATGAACAAATATACCAATCAATTACCGGGATATCCTGTATTCTTTGAAAATAAAGTTGAATTTGATCTTGATTTAGATTTCTTTTGGAAACAAAATCTGCATGTCTTAAAGTGTTTGTGTTCGAAACTCGATGTGGAGAAATAAGTAAACACGTTTATAATCTAAAACATACTACAATCAAGTAAATGAAGAGGTTGGCTCACTAACTCCATAAAATGGCCCTGTTCATGTATACCAATTAACTGACCAAGTCCCAATGTCCCATTTCGAAATCAATGTAAAGTAGAGACGTGGTGCTTTCACTTCCAATAAAAAAATTCCCTGAGAGTCCAAGTATTGAAAAACAGACTTTGTGAAACTGCAATGTTCTTGAATTTTGAAGAAAATGAGTGAATTTGAGAATCTTTAACTAATGATAAAAATATGAACTCACACTGCGATCCAAAAATTTTTTCATGGATTAGAATCTTCTGAAACAGTTCTTTCATAATATAATTAAACATTTTAGATCAGAGGTCGGAGGCTATGCAAAATATCCAGAAACAGCTGACACTTTTGGCCATTTTTTAAGAAATTTTCAAGATTTGAGGAAAATGACGCAATTCGTGACTTCATAATACATGGACTAGAGAGAAAATTGCGCCATTTTTAATTCATATGCAGTCACCAAGGGTTCAAGTGAAATTTAAGATATTTTCAACTAAAACTGAGCAGTTCTGATTTCTCAGATCAGAAATTCACAGGGCCAAAAAAGAACCTAGTGAACCTTGTTCTTTGATTTCGATCTACATATGTATTCCTCAGACTGACCGATACAGTCGGCACAAGCGCGTTTATCTGAAATTACCTAAAGTTTATTATAAACTTTTTTGCTTATGCAGCAACCATTAAAAAAAAGTATTAAAACTTTTTATCTTGGTGTTCTGCATGTAGTAATATTAACTTAACCCCACTGTAAATACAGAAAGCAATCCCTATGGAAAGGCACCGTTTTACGGTCCGCTATTGTTCCCCAGTTGTGACGCCAACCTAATCCCAGAAACTAAATGTGGTTTACGAAGGAGTAGAGGAACCAAGCGGGAAATGGAAGTATCTGATGAGATTGTAGCTCTAATGATTCGTATTTAAAAAAAAGAGGGACAAGGAGCACCTAGACGTGGAACTTTTTTCACATGATGTATCCTTATATTTCTAAATCTTGTATACCATGTTTTGCTGTAGGAGCAGTGGCATTTTGAATGAATTGCATTTATTTGTTTTAGTACCAATGACAACACTGATAACTAGAATTACCTGATGTGTCTTAATATGATATACTTGTATACCACGTTTTATTGAAATCAGACCGAAACTGAAGGAGGTCTAATCTTAAAAAAAAATCATAAATTATTCTACAGGTATCTTTATTAACTAATTCAGCAATGTCAATTTTAAAGTGTATAATAATGAACCTGTATTCCAAGTGAATACATTTTTGAAATAGGAACAAACCTGTAGGAATATAGTGTTTTGAAGAATTTCACGGATTTTTTTTATTCTTAGCAACCATGGCAAATTTGCTTGTCGAATTCAAGACTGATACCCAGGAATATGTATTTTCGTGTTGTCTATTTGTTGTTGTTGTTTTTTTTTAAATTTTATTTATTTTATTTTTATTATTATCTTTTATTAATATTCACAAAACAGTAGGTTTAACTTTCTATATTTACTAACCATGGCAACACTCTTTGTAAAAACAGAAATCTGTAATATCGAATTATTTATCCTCCAGTGCTCCAGATTTAGTGAAAGCTGATTGGAGTAACATTTTCAAATATTAGTACTTTTTTAGACAAACACGCAGAGAAACGACGGACGCGAACACTTTACCATTGCAAACGCTTTTCTGGTCTTTGACCAAAATATCGAAAATGCTCAACAAAGAGGACATGCAACTCGTGAGTACCTTGTGTCAGGGTTTAGCTGGGAATAATTCGAATACATGAGTTGGAGTGGATTAAAATCTGTGGCTCGCAACGATGTGATTTGATTGGTTTCTACAATTCAAATGCTGATTGGTTAACCAAAGAAAATTCTTGCATATAACGTAAAAACTTTTAAAGTGTAAGCATTTCTGATGGCTACGTATGTTTTGATGATGGAATTAAATGCCATCTGTCCCTCTGGGGTAACACCAATGCCTATGTAGTTCATCTACCTTTTTTCTCTTCCTAATTCCCCCATTCTAAAATTATCTATTCTGTATATTCAAAATACATGTATTATCAATAATAAATGTTATTCTTCTTATAGCCTCCACTCTCCTCTCCTTGTCAGACTTATTGTTTTAAAGTCAGAATCAAAACTTGATAAAAGAGTAGTAGTTTTTCATGAAGCTTACTAAAATGTTTCACATTTAGATCATAAGATTTTGCTGAAAGGAATTTTAGTTACATTTATAAAATAAAGCAATCAATTCATCTGGTAACCTTGAAATCCCCCATGCCAAGTTCGCTCATGCAAGAAAACAATCTCTCGATGAAGTTCAGAACTACCTTGCTTTTCATTACTTACTGTATAGGGTAGGGTGGTGTAATTATTACCTTTTCATTACTTACTGTATAGGGTAGGGTGGTGTAATTATTACCTTTTCATTACTTACTGTATAGGGTAGTGCGGTGTAATTATTACCTTTTCATTACTTACTGTATAGGGTAGGGTGGTGTAATTATTACCTTTTCATTACTTACTGTATAGGGTAGGGTGGTGTAATTATTATCTTTTTCATTACTTACTGTATAGGGTAGTGTGCTGTAATTATTACCTTTTCATTACTTACTGTATAGGGTAGGGTGGTGTAATTATTACCTTTTCATTACTTACTGTATAGGGTAGGGCGGTGTAATTATTACCTTTTCATTACTTACTGTATAGGGTAGGGCGGTGTAATTATTACCTTTTCATTACTTACTGTATAGGGTAGTGTGGTGTAATTATTACCTTTTCATTACTTACTGTATAGGGTAGGGTGGTGTAATTATTACCTTTTCATTACTTACTGTATAGGGTAGGGTGGTGTAATTATTACCTTTTCATTACTTACTGTATAGGGTAGGGTGGTGTAATTATTACCTTTTCATTACTTACTGTATAGGGTAGGGTGGTGTAATTATTACCTTTTCATTACTTACTGTATAGGGTAGGGTGGTGTAATTATTACCTTTTCATTACTTACTGTATAGGGTAGGGTGGTGTAATTATTACCTTTTCATTACTTACTGTATAGGGTAGGGTGGTGTAATTATTACCTTTTCATTACTTACTGTATAGGGTAGGGTGGTGTAATTATTACCTTTTCATTACTTACTGTATAGGGTAGGGTGGTGTAATTATTACCTTTTCATTACTTACTGTATAGGGTAGGGTGGTGTAATTATTACCTTTTCATTACTTACTGTATAGGGTAGGGTGGTGTAATTATTACCTTTTCATTACTTACTGTATAGGGTAGTGTGGTGTAATTATTACCTTTTCATTACTTACTGTATAGGGTAGGGTGGTGTAATTATTACCTTTTCATTACTTACTGTATAGGGTAGGGTGGTGTAATTATTACCTTTTCATTACTTATTGTAAAGGGTAGTGTGGTGTAATTATTACCTTTTCATTACTTACTGTATAGGGTAGTGTGGTGTAATTATTACCTTTTCATTACTTACTGTATAGGGTAGGGTGGTGTAATTATTACCTTTTCATTACTTACTGTATAGGGTAGGGTGGTGTAATTATTACCTTTTCATTACTTACTGTATAGGGTAGGGTGGTGTAATTATTACCTTTTCATTACTTACTGTATAGGGTAGGGTGGTGTAATTATTACCTTTTCATTACTTACTGTATAGGGTAGGGTGGTGTAATTATTACCTTTTCATTACTTACTGTATAGGGTAGGGCGGTGTAATTATTACCTTTTCATTACTTACTGTATAGGGTAGTGTGGTGTAATTATTATCTTTTTTGTACTTAGGTCTTTGATCAACTATGTCACTCTCTGTAATACTACAGGATAAACTGAATAATTTTCCTTCGGAATACCTTTTATTTTTCAGATTACATGTATAAGTTGAATCCACGCTTTTCAAAAGTTGTGTCCCTTGGTCACCATCTTTGGTGGAAAACCCCATAGAAGCATCACAGTGGCTTAGTAGTTTTCTGGTTTGTAACTTTGTCATTTGACTGGAAAACAATTGTACATCTTGTATATTGATTGCCGGATGATGAGGCTACCCATACACAAATATTTAAACACAGTGGGTTTATCGGAGCACGCCAAAATGTATGGATAAATTGTCATTTCTTTCCCTTTTGACCTTTTAGTTGGTCCTGCAAAATGAAACAACTTTTGCAAAGTGTGGATTGGACTTATATGAAATTGCGTTCGATTTACAAAATACAAAATACGATTTACGATAATTTGCGTCATCTCAATAAAAAAAATAATAAATTCAAATTATTTTGTTGTTTTGTAAACATAAAAGATTGAATGAGTTTAAATACTGAAAAAAGGAGACGGTACTTTTCAAAATATGACTAATTTGAAGCATCGAGTGCACCTATCGAGGCGATTACTGATTTGTTAATCGCATGTAAACTCAACAGATGCAGAACTTAGTTTCTAATGCGTATACATGTACAAATCACTTATCCTCAATTTTTTTTTCATATGGCCACGGATTCTTTCTGGCGAAATTCGTATCGCTTAGGTTGTACTTTGATTTTTCATTGGTTGAAGTTGATTGAAGTTAACCACTGACGCCAGTTTATGCAGGGGTAATTTTTGCCGATTTCGCTTCAGCTGATTTGCATTTTAATTTGTAAAAACTAAAGATTATCAAATAAATATGCATGAATTTCAGTTGCAATGAATATAGTATGTGGACATTTCAGTTGCAATAAATATAGTATGTGGACATTTTTTTAAATCAACAAATTTGATAAATCCGTCACCTCAGAGAAAGCCATTGATTATTTTTCTATATAGATTGCCAGAGTTGACAATTCCTCATAATGACTAATAAATACTAGTACTCGTAATTTTTTAAATTTAATTTATACATAATTTTATTCACAAAAAGTGAATGGGATTGGGCAGTAGGCAAAGCCTATTTTAGCCCTCTCCCTACAACAAGGTCTAGGTCAATACACACTATATAGGTATAATATTTATTAAACAAAGATTGAAGAAAAGCAATAAAAAAAGGGGGAAATGCGCTGAAATACCGGTTTGGAAATATTGAAAAAAGTTACCTACATGACAGTGTTCAAATAAAACGTTTTGTTGCTACTATGCATGTACTGCTTCAAATATTTGTATATATATATTAGTATTGAATCCATGATCAGGACTACCATATAATAATAATTCAAGTTCAGAGATCTGATCACAATAAATATTTTGAAATGTTTGAAAAAGTACATCTCTAGAAGATATATATTTTGGACAAGTGAAAAAGTATTTGGGGAAGGGGGTGGGAGTGATAATGCCTTTTCTTGGCTATCGTCATATTTCAGTAAGCGACTTGCGCTTATGGAAATAAAATTATTTTCAACACAATACTTTAAAATGCATTTTGTTTCTGCATAAAATAGATGTATGTTGACAATAATAGATCATAAACAAAATAGTTTAAGGTATCATTGGTCAGTCGAAATTAGCCAGGTGCTCCACTTTACACCACCCTACCCCAAACAGTTGTTGATTTCTTAGGGAGACAAGCTTTTTGTTGTGGGGAAGTGGAAGCTAGGTTTTTGCATTCATGTGTCATGTTGATCTAACGAAGGACAACTTAAAATTATTATATAATATACATTTCGCTTCAAATACTGTCTTTTTCTAAACATCATAAAATCTTATACTAATTATACTAATGTATATTCGTATTCACACTACAGGCCTTTATATCGCTTTTAATCCGATTGACAAAACTAGGGGTTTAAAAAAATAAATAGCGCGCGGTATTCAATTTGTCGGCACGGTCAGGTGCTGTTATACAACCGATGACAACCAAAAAATAAGAATTTGATTCTATAATAAAATAATATCTGATAATACCGGAATATCTGTATATTTTTTTTATCTGAAGGTACATTTACATGATTTTCTTTTTAATTACTTTATTTTCTATTTTCAGCACCGAGGTAAATCGCAATATTCAAACGTTAAAAATAATATATGGTATTTTAACCATTTCAATATATTGAATTTTGCAAAAATTAATCAACGTAACACTGCACTAGTCATGATGTTTCCTCCTGACGTCACAGAGCAAGACGTCTGAATTTCATGACGTCACAATAAAATAAACCCATCTCTATTCTATTACGTCACAATCAATTAGAACAGAGATTAACAACGAAATACATTAAATTATGGATGAAGACGAAGTCCCTTGTTCGCGTCCGATGGAGGGGACTGTAGGAAAGAAGTTTAGTGTAGAAGCGTGCAATATTCTGTGGGAACTGCGCAAAAGTGGACAGTTATGTGATGCAATAATAAAGGTGGAAAACAGAGAGTTCCCAATTCACCGGAATATCATGTCGGCCTGTAGTCAGTATTTTAGAACACTATTTACAAATGAATTATTTGATACAAACACACGGGAAGTGGTCATTCCAGGAGTTTCTGCCGAAATAATGAGCTTAATTATTGACTATGCCTACACCAGAGACGCTGCTGTGACAGCAGAAAACATCGAACATCTTCTACCCGCAGCTGATCAGTTTCATGTTATGGGTCTTGTCAAACTCTGTTGTGACTTCCTGATCTCTGAACTAACGGCTGAAAATTGCATCGGAGTAAGAAGATTCGCGAGAACTTATTTTTGCCATAATTTGGAGAGGGCTGCATTTCGATATCTAATGTTAAATATCGCTGATGTCTTAACCTTCAGTAATGAGTATCTACAGCTAGATATAGAGGAGGTTTGCGATATTTTATCTTCGGATGAGTTGAACGTAAGAAATGAAGAGCTCGTTTTTGACGCAATTTTGCGATGGATCGACTATGATCGAGATACAAGGAAAGAACATATCGCTCGACTATTGAAAACGATTAGGCTCGGGCTTTTAACTACTCAGTATTTCGTTGAAAAGGTCAAAGTTCATCCATATATAAAGGACAATGATTCTTGTAAACCCGTCATCATCGAAACCCTTAAGTTTCTTTACGATCTGGACATGGATGAAGACAAAGAACTTGATCTAAATAATCCATTAGCCAAACCTCGCGTGCCACACGAAATTTTATTTGTTATTGGGGGATGGAGTGGCGGATCTCCAACAAATCTTGTAGAAACGTACGACACGCGTGCGGATCGTTGGATCGTCTGTGACGCTGTGGACACAGGTTGGTAAAGCTTATATGTGAATAAATGCTTCAAATTGCAACACATACTCAGATACCTTTATGAATATGTATACAGAATTTACATAATATACAAGTATGCTTAACAATTTACATCTTTGCTATCAAGAACCATCAAGAGTTTTGATGAGTTACTTAACTAGTAAACAAAATCTTTCATGTATATGAGATACGTATACATTAGTAAGTAAAACAGCAGTATACTTCATTCTTTCATAGAAACCAGGTCTTACTAAAGTACAACAGTAGATCGACATTGGTTACATGTTTGTCATAGCTATACTTATTTGGCCTTAAAAGGTGCAATTTATATGACATTTTGCATGAAATGTTTGGCAAAAAAGTGATGTGTTTATATATCTGATGTTCTTTCAGTAAAGAAAAAATGTGAGCACGATTAAGTTTGTTCCATTTGTCCACGCAGCTTATCAATCATATTCAGCAAAAGCATTTTAATATTGTAAAGGCAATAAAACCTCAAGAAAATAAGTTTTTCAAGTATATTCAACTTATCGATAACACTGTTTGAAGGTCCTAGAGCGTACCACGGGACGTCCACTGTAAATCACATCATTTACGTCATCGGAGGGTTTGACGGTGTGGAATATTTTAACAGCGTGCGCAGCTTTGATCCGATGACCAAAGAATGGAAAGAAGTGGCGCCAATGAACGCCAAGAGGTACATGTTCAGAAGGACGAAAGTCCGTTTGTTATATGAAGTTATGATTGAATTTATTTTTAATTCATAATGTGACAGATTATAATACAGTGTTATTCACAAGTTAGGTTTTTGTGTTTTGTTTGTTTGTTTTTACTATCTTTCACATGTAAACTAAAAAGCATTTTTCTTTCTAGAAAATGCAATACATATGTATAAAGGTCAGATCAGTTTGAAACAATTATAAAGTTCAAATCAATTTGAAATCAAATCAAATTCAAATCAAATCAATTTGAACAATTATAAAGTTCACAATATCATAAATATAGAATATTTCGATCTACAGTTAGTGTAAGTTATCAATTTCTGAAAGATTTCTCCTTGTACTGAAAATCTGTACAACTCTATAGGTATCCAGAACAAGAAATAATCATTTTGGCTGGTCAGGTTGGCCATCAATTCTTAATGTTCAGGCCTGTGGGAACGGGGGAAGGGGGAACGGGGGACAGTGCAACCTCCCCCCTCCCATAATTTTGCAGATACATAGTATATTATAGAAAAAACTACTTTTTGTATGTGCTTTCTCAATAATTACGCCTGACCCCCATTTCTTTGCTTCTCAGAAATTTTTGCTTGGTAGTGCCCCCCTTTCCCATCAGAAATTGCTTCCTATGGGCCTCATGTTAATGGTCAAATACTTTGTGTTCTTGTGTATCAGTTGACCAATGAAAATCCATTTTACTAAAACACATACTGATTCATTGAAATAATCGGACATTTTCGCCCGATCTGCATCCATTTTTGACAAAATTTTCTCCCGCTAGAACCCTATTTTTTTTTTTAAAGTTATAGTTTTATTTGATATAATACCTGTGAATCATATGTTCAAATAAATGCTATAATGTCTTTGAACAACAGTGCAAGAAAGACTCCAACATACATGTACCTATAGTGGTGTGGGTTCGGACTGTCCAGAGATTAGCATTCAAGATCTATCTACGGTATTTTTTTAGTTTATGGGGTAAGAATAAGTTTCTACATACATGTACATTCCAGGTGTTACGTCAGCACCACTGTTTTGGGGGATCGCATATATGCCATGGGAGGATATGATGGTCAAATGAGACAAAATACTGTAGAACGCTTTCTTCCCGCCAAAAACCAGTGGAGTTTTGTGGCGTCAATGAACCACCGGAGAAGCGATGCTAGCGCCACCACGCTCAACGGTATTTATAATTTATTATTTATAAGTCTAGATCTTTCCTACTTCAGGACAGATGATACAAACAAACTTTTTTTTCAAAAATCATGAAAATAACTGATATAGTCATGTTTATATAAGTAAAATAAATTTAACCACATACATGTAGATTTTATTTTTTCACAATAATGTCCTATAAGGTGATAAAAAGTTTTTATAGATTTTAAAGGAAGATTGAAGAAAGGTAGAATTGTGAACGTTAAAAAAGATTAACAATTTCGTAACTGACATTTTAGAAATTTAACATTTGCATCATTTACAACCAAAATAGGTCCAAAAATATATTTCAATCAAGGCATTCATTTTTGTATCATCTGTCCTCCAAAATACATGCCAATGTTTCTTAGACTTATATTCACAACAGGTCAGAATTCATTTTATGATCATGTGAAATATTCGTACTTAGATGACCAAAATATTTTATTTGAGGGATTAAATTTATTTGTTTATTTATAATAATTCTAATTTTAGTGGTGTGAATAGAAATATACTGAAGGATGCTTTCTGATACTAACACGAGTAGTTGCTATTTTTCTAGTATCTGATTTGCCTCTAATATGCACAATGCTTTTTTTTTCCGAACACTAGTTGCAAAGTGCCAAAAACTACACCTACAATATGTTAAGATCGTCAGAGAAATTCTGTAATTTCTCTGCCAAAAAAAAAAAAGTTTTGTCATATTAAAAAAAACCCCAATAGATTAATGAAATATTATGTTTCAAATAAAGGTAAAGTGTACATCTGTGGAGGGTTCAATGGTCACGAATGCCTTAGTACCGCGGAGGATTACGACCCCAATACAAATCAGTGGACACTGCTCGAGCCTATGAGAAACAGGCGCAGTGGCATAGGCGTCATAGGCTATAAAGAGGAAATTTATGCCTTAGGCGGTTTTAATGGAATTACCCGGATGAATACTGGGGAAAAATATTGTCCTAAAACCAAAAGATGGAGGACCATTCCGGAGATGTTCAATCCAAGAAGTAATTTCGCCATCGAGGTAAACATATACATGTATATAGTTTACAAAAGGCTCGTGCTTGCATTCAACCTTATTGAAAACATGGAAGTTTTTTTTTAATTTCAAAATATTTCAGTTGTGACAGAGTGTTTAATAAATACAAAATAATTAACTAATATATTTAGTATGTCTACATATTGGTACTTGTCAGATCGAAACATTTTTTTTTTAAAAAGTGGGGATTACCTCTCGCAAATATTTGTTCAGTTGTTAAACCTCCTATTTTGTACAATAAGTGTTAAATCCTTGAATGTGTAGTGGCGTTTTTACTTTTAATTACTTGCTAAATTAACTTCAGGTCATTGATGAAATGGTGTTTGCCATCGGTGGGTTTAATGGAGTAACAACCATTTTTAACGTTGAATGTTATGACGCTTCCACTGATGAATGGTAAATATGTGTTCGCTCCACTTTTGATAAGTAGAATAGATCGATGCTTCCTATAAAAGTCTCTTATAAACTTAATTTTTTTGTAGAATTTTCTGCGATGAAAAATTGTATGAAATTCACTTTAATAATAATATCTCTTATTCTTTCCCCAGTTTACATGCATTGCAAATCTGCAATTAATTATGTCATTTTTATTTTGAAATCCATTTCAGGTATGACGCAACAGATATGAATTTGAACCGAAGTGCATTAAGCGCCTGTGTAGTAAAGGAACTGCCGAGTGTCCAGGATTATATACACAAAGAAAGATAGATATCTTAATTGCTAAAAGACAATAAAAAAACACAAGAAGCATGTGTAAACTTGGTTGTTTTTATTTATATTTTATTATGTTGGTTTAACTTCATTTTTTCGACATATCGTGGAAAATCCACTTGTTAGCGGAGTGCTCCACATCCAGGCAAGAATCATTTTGTACACGCGCGGATCAAGAGGAAGGGGGTGGGGGTCAGGACCCCGTAGGATTTTAAAAGTTCTTAAATTTATATGAAAAAGTAACGAAAAAATTATGACTTTGGATCCCCCCTCCTCAGGAAACACGGACCCCTCATAATTTAATGAGGAGTCATGTATACATTATATATAAAAGAAAGATGATTTTTCTTGAGAAGTAACCCCGCCCCATTTTTTAGGAAAAATTCCTCGAATCTTCTATGTTCTTTTTTGAACTAATAATATCTATAACAGTTACTGAATGACATTCGTTTTCACTATAGTTTCAGGCAGCATAATATGATTATTTTCCTGCAGTTAAAATTACTTACATAATGATGATTAATGAGTAATCAGAATAGTAAACAGAAAACTGTAAATTCAAAACAGGCAAAAAGGATTGTATGGGTGGAAAAATCAATATTCGAATCAATAAAAAAATCTTTCCGACACGAAAAAAACTATAGCTAATTAAAAGTAGCTGCAGGTCTAGAAACATTGTCGTTGATTTCATAAAGGGGTATGTCACAAATGTTGACCAATTGTCACGACATATGAACTGTTCAAGTTTTGTGAAAATAGGGCAAAATTTTGTCCCAAGTGAAATAAAGAATTATGGCTGTGACAGGCACAATAGCGAACTTGATAATCTGGATCAAAACAGCATTGGACATCGAAGAGAACAAATAAACTGCCATCTGCAACAGATAAAACCCTCAATTATAATAACTTGAAACAAATTAGCAGCACATTATATTCTAGGTTCTACAATTCATATAAATGTTTATCATCTACATGTATATTTCATATCTTTTAAAAGAGAATCTTGAAAGTTTAGAATTTAACTCACGCTGACAATAAATTCTACTGCTTTGTTTATTGCTATCCATGGATAGACAAGAATCTTAACCAACAGGAAGCAGACGATCCAGAACAGGGCGAGGGAGAGAAGAGCGAGGAAACACAAAACTGTGTAGGTCGCCGTTCCATCAATCAGTTCCACTCTGGGTAGAAAGGATGTTATAGAGATGAACCTACCTCGCACCTGGTCGTGTGTGCCAATCAAATATTTGTAAAACAAGGAGTCGTCTGTAAACAACAAAGGAATTTTTAAAAAAAAATATCACCCATCTTGCTCATCATAACCACGCACTTAGTTTGTCTGCTAAATATAAAAAAAAAGGTACAGAAGATTTTCAAAGAATTAATGTATTTTTCACTTTTTCATCAAAATATATACAGCCCCTACCCCCTTTTTAGAACCCCTGATCCTGGGACATGAATATTACAATTTTGGTATAGGGTTTGAATTGCTTATTATAATCATGCCAACAGCTTGGCTACTTGATACTATAGTATCCAGGAGTAAAGAAGACATTTTTTGAAGATTGCAGCGACCATGAAACCCATAGTTTTGTTCCCTTTGCCCATAGATGCTACCAAATCTACAAAAATGTACATTGTATATATACCAATTTAAAACTGGTTGTAATAATTGGTTAAGCGGTTCCAGATATTCAAATATGAAATCACATGACGACAAAAACGGATAGCAATATCTAGGTCACCTGAGTGGCTCTATCCTCGCAACGCCAGAGGTCCTGGGTCAACACGTGGGACATACCGTGCCCACGGCAACGAATTGACTCATGACTCTTGGCGAGGATGGAGTGGCTCAGGTGGCCTTAAAAACGGAGAGGACTATCTTGTCGCAGCTAGTGGCCAACAAATGTGGTGAACAAATGTTTCATTCGATTACAATATTTCACAACGAATAGTTAAATTAAATACATGTAAAACATGTAAAAAGAACGATAACTCCTTTCTCATAATTTCACAAAAATTGATTCTTACCAATGATTTTGGCAGCGATAATCAATGCCATTACAAGGAGAACACTTGCAGTTATGCTTGTCGTCATCATGTAGTGTCTTGTGATTCGATGATGTTCGTCTGGTCAAGAAAAAAAGAAAGTAGTAGATACGAGAGAGAGTGAGAGAGAGAGAGAGAATTTATATTAAGAGAAAAACCTTACATGAGGAAATCTCACGGAATGACCATTGTTTTACCAAGTCGCTATCTAAGGTTAAATAAGATTGACAGACGCATGGCGAATGTTCTATCGTGCTATGGTTAGGAGGATAGGCGAAATCGAAAGTTGAAACATAAAATTTCCAGTTTGGACCAAAAAAAATAATTAAAACTGTATTTTATAAACAATTTTCATTCTTTTTTTTCTATGATAAAATTAATGTATAGAACAGAACAATCATTTTTCTAATTTAGAGCCCAGAACAGAAAAGTATGAAATTATTGAAATCATAAGGAAAAAAAATAATTACATGTATGTCAATGCTTGAATGAATAGTATAACAATTAATTACATTTATATCATCTTTGGTATCATGTGTTATCAATATACTTCTCAATTTTTTTTTATTATTATAAAAAAGTTGAAATTATGGTTTTACAGAATATTGTACTCATTCTCGGAAAAGATATTTCCGTTTCTCTCCGACTCATTTCTTTTAGGCTTTTCAGTCTGATACACTTCCTGTTTATGTGTTACGTGCGGAAGAAACTTCGTCTTCGGTAAGCCTATGTAAGTTTTTGACGAAGTATCTAATTATCCATTGACTTTAATATATTCAAAATAAGAACTTGCATAACTTTTTGTAAGGTCTCTTTTGGTGTTTGTCAAGAAAGAAATTGTTCATAGGTGCACCTCTTCAAATAATCCGAGATTCCTCTGACTCTAACCCCTGCTTTTATATTTTGACATGTGCAGGGGAGACCCCCCTGCACATGTCAAAATATAAAAGCAGGGGTTAGAGTCAGAGGAATCTCGGATTACTCTTCAAATTGAAATTCGTGACTTTTAATGTTTTAAAAACTAAAAAAGTTGAACAAGTTTAACTTGTTGAAGACACTTTATTAACATGAGGTAGTGGCACGAAACATTTTTTTTAAATGCCCAATGCACACGAATGCAGACCAATGTAAATGCTTTTATCCTAAGTTGATGTTGAACTAATAAATCTAATCGTGTACACTTTTTTCCAAAAGAGGGAGAGAGAGAAAAAAGTAACATAATCAGGATAAAGAATTAATACTGAAAAACAAACTATAGAATTGTTTGAATGAGGCTTATCCCCCCCCCCCACCCCACCCCGCCCTATCACAATCAAGGCATCCATCTCATTTGCACCACAGTTTGGTAACCAAACTTTCCATCTTATCTAAAGAGTGCCCAAACCAAACTTTGGTCTGGGCACTCTTTAGATAAGCTGGAAAGTAATCTTAACACTGGATTGACGATCAATTGATGTACAGATGAAATGACAGACACAGATCTATGAACAGATGGACATTCTAAATAGAGCTGAAACGATCGAATGTTCGAATATTCGCTAATGAATAGTAAATGGCAAACATTCGAATGGAAATTTAGCATTCAAATATTCAGTCAAATGATTTATACTTCAATGTTTTCTTTCTTCATTAAATTATATTGGTATTTTAATGATAAAAACTTTAAGTATTAATAAGGATTTAGCACTACTTAATCCTATCAGTGCTCCAACTGAACTGTTGACTACCTCTTGGTATTTTATTACTGTTAGAAAGTACCAGAAAGATGATAAGAAATTTAAACAAAGAACAGCTAGTGTTTGAAATAACCATGCGACTGACCGCCTGAGACGCACAAATTTTGCCGTATGCTAACAGATTTGCGCGTACCATTGCCCGGCTGGACTTGTTCAAATTTCCCATTAATTACAATTCATTAATTTGATTAATTTCTCCCAAATCAACTAATGGTATTGGTAGCAAAGTGTTACAAGCAAAAAGGTAGAATTTGTCAGCTTATAAATTTGAGATCGAATTTTTGATGATCTGACCCCCAATCATCAAACACTGCAAAGAATGCAAATAATTTTTCTCAATGTAAATCCTTCTCAGCATAAATCACTCAAGATATTTCATTTAAGAAATGAATTGAGTAGCTACCCAATTTATATGGTATAAAGTGGGTTAGGGCAGTTTATGCTTTATAAACCACGAAACGGTTTATAGAAAAGCATAAACTGTTCCAATCCACTTTATACCATATAAATTGGGTAGGTATTCAATTCATTCCTTATAACTTAATTTTCATTCATTTAGTGTTAATTAAGAAAAAAGATGATTGCCCATAAAAAATGAATTCAAATTGTATAGAATTTAAATGTAACGTTAGGCAGATCTATACATCATTGACGCAAGTCATTTTGACGTAGGCAACCCATTTTATACAATATGAAGTAAATTTTTTATCCAATCAAATTGTGCATGACTATCAGAATTAAATTATTTTCATATGGAGTGTTATATATTCCAGCCTACCAATTTCATCACCCATCGCATGCATGGCCCCGCCATTTCCATGCATTTTTTAATCATGGTTGTCACTAAATCATGCAAATATGTTTCTTTTAACAAGAAATAACCCTAAAAACTGATTACTGACTTTAATTTTTTTGAAACCCGATTATTTACAGATTGATCTCTGAAACAAGTGTCAATGTTAGTAGTGTGTTCAGTAATGCGCAATGTGAATACCCCGATAACTCACATGGACTTTCGCGTTAGTACAACGTGTCATCATAACTATCTAACTGTGATGACTTTTCTGTATTTTCCATGCATAGAATTTAATAAATTTTACCATGTTAAGATGGTTTCCTATTTTGGTATGTATATTCAAATACATTTTCTGTACAAATTTTGGGCAAATTTCTGACCTTGCGTCATAGAATAAGGTCTATACAGTAGATAGGATGAGATCCACATTACCAAAATAAAATTTTGTCAGTTTTCCATTAAATTTGCTATGAGGAAAAGCTGCATGCTTAACTTAAACAATGGACAGTTTAACAAGTAACTATATCAAAATAAATTGTTTAAACATATACAGAATTTTTAAAATTTTGAATCCATTACTGTTGAATATTTGTGTGCCGGTTTTGGTTTGATATTTATTGAGTTTTACTGTATTTTGACACAGGGTCTTAAAACATCACGGAAATCCAAGTACATAAATGAATGTGATTAAAATCACATGGACTATAAGATTTCCTTGGTTCTGCATTTTCATGTGTTTCACTTTCTTAAAATGGGTTTTTTGGTCTGACAAATTTAGTTTGGTCCAGTGTGTTTTGGATTACTGTAAATCACTTTTTATTCGAGAGAACTTTATTTTCGCGTAATTACGCGAGACAGTTTGTTTGTGAAAATTTTATTCTCGCGTAGAATATATTCTTTAAGGATTATATAGAGCAATAACCACAATTCGTGAAAGTTTTGCCTCGCTATTAAAGAGTTAATGACTATCTCGCGAAAATAAGGTGTCGCGAAAATTTAGTGATCTACAGTACCCAGGATCAAATGTCCTGTGTGGCTCAAAAAACTTTCACATTAGACCGCTAAAATATCAACCTGGTGACATTAGTTTGATTTCTCAATATTATTTGTATACATTAAAAATTAAACATGTTAAATATATATAATTTAATTCTAGATATAACGCAGTATTTGATTGGATAAAAAATTTACTTTATATCGTATAAATTGGGTTGCCTACGTCACAATGACTTGCGTCAAAAACGTATCAATCCGCCTGATGTTTAAATTTTGTACAATTTGAGGTCATATTTAAGGGCAATCATCTTTTTTTCTTACACTAAATGAATGAAAATTAAATTATAAGGAATGAAATTAATAGCTACCCAATTTATATGATATAAAGTGGGTTGGAACAGTTTATGCTTTTTTATAAACCGCTTTGCGGTTTATAAAGCGTAAACTGCCCCAACCCACTTTATACCATATAGATTGGGTAGCTATTACATTTATTCTTTAAATAAAGATACATTACTACATGTATTCTTGTAAGTTAATTCCGATAATCATGATAATAGAAGTTGTTTTATAATATTCCTGAAATGTGGTTTACATTTTATTGAATGATCAAGAGTGGCAATTAAAAACCTGGCAATGCAGATTTTATATATTTTTTTCTGCAAAGTTTGAACTGATATATATCACAATCAGTAATGTACATTATCATTAACTTTTTTTTTTGCAAGGCTGAACTTTTAGCACTGATACTTTTCATTAGTGTTTCAATGAAGGTTTTCTCTGTGTAAGTTTTATAAACTTTTATAAGTTGATGAAAAATTTACTGGTTGGAAATTGTATTTGGAGTTAATTAATCACTGTGACAATATCTGCTGGGAAAAAAGGCAAGAAAAGTATTGGATTAGTTCGTCATTGTCTGTATAATATTGACAAAATTTAGTAATTAACAGTTACTTAATTGTAATTTATTAGGTCATTGATTCTAGATGTGCTGCAACAGAAGGCAGGTTGTACTTTTTGAACATTTATGTTTATGTAGGTGTTTTAGTATGATACCAAATATCTCATCATTTATTGAGAGATGTTGCTGAAAGGCTTAACATTTTTTTAAAAAAATAAGATTTGTGTTGTCTTGATGAAAGCCTGTTTTTAACTCCAGAGGAGTGTTCACAAGCTGGTTCCAAAATAGTGAATGAGTGGGCAACACATATGTTGTGACTCTGTGATTTCTTTTAGTTAAATATCATATGTTTTGTGAAATGTGACAGCTGTGAATCAGTGTTGATGTAAAGACATGATGTGTTATGAGATACACCTATAGAATTCGATTGTATCTTAGTCCCAGATTAAATCACTATTATATGGTGATGCAGATTTCAATCGTTTCAAACAAAAGGACAAAATTCGACTTACAACATCTGTTCTAAAGATGTGTATGCATGTACAAACTCCTACCAATTGTCAACGAAACTCTTAATGTATATAAATTTTTCAAGATCAGTGTAAATGTCAGTAAAACATTGACAAAAGTTTTCCTGTATAATCATTATGTTCATTTCCTGATTGTTAAATGTTCATTCATTTTATGTCAATTGTGCATCTTTGTCAGTGATTATCCTGAAGGCAGCAAGGTGATACATGGGTAGAAATTCCTTCAAAATCACAATCAGTAGTTCTTTGTTAATTAAAAAATAGTAGCCTTTGGGTAGTTCAGATCTCAGGGTCAACACTAGATTAAGCTGACTGATAC